AAAAAATACACTTAAGTATTGATTTTTGTGTGTCACATGGTATGTTGAATCCAGCATTGGTTCAAGTTAAATGTTTGTAATGTCCAAATACAAAGTTTATAGTTTCTTATGAATTAAGAGCTCAAATTACTTATGTTGACAAGCTAGAATATAAAATAAGAACCTCCCATCTTTTCTACTTGCTGAGATATCACTACATTTACTGAATCAAACACACTGGCCCCACCCACCTCTTTCCATATTTGGAAATGCTTACGTACACCTACTTCTGTCTATGATGGGTGAATAACCAGTTGAAAGCTCAGAATGTTTCCCTAGTGGCTTTCTCAGTCTCTCTAAAGTATTATTTTCATGCTAGATTCCAAGTGGTAAGACTTTAGTGAGCTCAAAATTTCATATATTTTTAGACCCAAATACAGCATAGTTACTAAGCTTGATAAATTATAGTGGAATTCTATGGTATTGATATAGTAGTTTATGATTTTAGGTTATTTTAAAATGTATATATAATACCTGAAAAAATAATTTGTTTCACATCCTCCATGTGCGAAATTTGATAAGGCTTAGCAACAGACGGCAAGCAGCAAACAGGTACAAAGTTCGTAACTACAAGAGACAATTGTTTGCTATACTTCTTTATTTACTGTTCTATATTTTAATAAAAATAAGTTTAAGAACTTATTTGTAAATAGTAATAATGTATATACACATATAATGTATTATAACTGAAATGTGACTGTATTTTACAAAATATTAGTCCACTAAAACACAGCGAAGACAAGTCACTCTGTAAAGGCCAGTTTTATATTTTTGGGTCCAGTAAAATGAGTGTACGTGCACCACGTCATTGAAACTTCTGTAAGGTTAGCTAGGCACGGCTTGAAGGTCAATATAATAAAAATAATAAATGTATAATGTTGTGAGATTTAAGCTATTTAGACTAAACATTTATGTTTTTGTGTTATAATTTGTAGTCATTCTAGAATGAAAAAGCATAATTTACTTCCTACTTTTTTGTGGTGGTTACGAGGTCAGTCAAATTGACTGACCTCATATGGAGTTAAGGTAGATAAAATAAAAAATTTTACTGAAAACAAATATGTGAAATGTATTTAGGAGGTTTTAGAGATTACACAAATGATATTTGAGATTTTTTGGGATGAAGAATAGTTTTTTTTAATCATAACATGAAAATCACTTTGCGCTCGGACTAGTAACAAAACAAACTTGATATTTTCACAAACAAATCTTTAGTAAAAATACTTCATTAAAAACTGAATTTTTGTGTACAAAATATTTGTAATATTTACTAAAAATCTACCAAATTTTGTGAAGATACACATACTGCATTAAAAGTTATAGTACATATAC